TTTTTTTTTTATTCCTTTGACAATTACCTTGAAATTTCTTCATTCTGAGTATCTAAAACAAACATCTCTTTGTCTTCCTGAATACCTAGCTCACCTTATTTGTACTTCTGCCCATGCATCATTGTCCCTTTCTTCCAGGCTGAGGGTACTTGGTTTCATTCAGTCTTTACTGGTTTCTTTGTTCTACACTGCTTCTTCTACAGCCTACCTGTTCTTACAGGATTCATCTTACAGAAGTACATCTTTCAGTAGTTATTGACACAGAGGGAGTTTATAATTAGCTCTGTCTGTATTTCTAAAACTTATCTTTATTTTGCCATCACTCTTGAATGATTCTTTTGTTAAGTGTGTAATTCTAGGTTGACAATTTCCTTCAGTGTTTTGAAAATGTTTTTCTTCTGGTTGTTGCAGATGAGAAGCCTGATGGCCTAACTTGAGCTCCTCTGTTGAGTGATCTGTCTTCTCACTTTTTTCTTTGGGCTCAATGTTCTGTGGTCTCACTGTGCCGCCCAGATTTGTCATATTACAGTACTTCAGCTTCAGTGGCCCTTTACATCTGGGGCCTCCTGTCACATCACAGGGTTGTCTTGGCCTCCCTCTGGGTGGTACCTCTGCCACTTGTTCTCCCTCCAGGATCTCGTAATAGACACATTTGGAAGCAATGTGTTCTACCCTCATGTATTAACTTTTCTCCTACTTTTTTTTTTTTTGAAAGAGTCTCACTCAGTTGTCCCTGGTAGAGTGTCATGGCGTCATAGTTCACAGCAACCTCAAACTCTTAGGCTCAAGTGATTCTGTTGTCTTAACCTCCCAAGTAGCTGGGACTATAGGTACCCACCAAAACGCCTGGATATTTTTTTGTTGCAGTTGTTGCAGCTGATCTGGGCTGGGTTTGAACATGCCAGCCTCAGTGTTTGTGGCTGGTGCCCCAACCACTGAGCTATGGGTGCTGCCTCTGTGGCACATTTAAAATGAGTCTCTTAATTGTCTTCTCACTTACTAATCCCTGTTTAGTTATGTCTAGTCTGTTAAACATATACACCGAGGTTTTATGTTTCAGTGAGTATATTCTTCATATTGAGAATGCCTATTAATATGGATCTCTTTCAAATCTACCCATTATTTAAGCTATCTTGGTTTGCCTCATAGTTGCTATTCAATCATTTCTCTTTTATTTTTTGTTGAGACAGGGTCTTGCTCTGTTGCCTTGGGTCAAGTGCAGTGGTAACATCATAACTCACTGCAACAGACTCCTTGACTCAAGTGATCTTCCTGCCTCAGCCTCTTGAGTAGCTGGGACTACAGGTGCCTACCACACCAGCTAATTTTTTTTATTTTTTTAGAGATAGGGTCTTGCTCTTGCCCAGTCTGGTCTTAAATTCCTGGTCTCAAACATTCCTCCTGCTCAGCCTACCAGAGTGCTAGGATTACAGGCACGAGCCACTGTACCCAGCCTTCTTTTATCTCTTGAAGCATGTTAAGCATACTTATCTTAAAGTCTCTGTCAGATTATTTGATTATTACTAGCTCTTGGTGGTGCTTCGTATATCATATGCACTGCTGTCTCCAGCTGGAGATGGTTGAATTACTTGTATGGTTCATTTTCTTTCCTTTCTTGGTACCTGGTGGAGGGGACAAAGATTTCTTTCCAGCTCAGGATATAACTGTCATCTTAGTCAAAGGAAAAAGAAGGCTGTTTCCTTAGACAAAGATTCCCTAATGGGCTTGCCATGTTGGCCTTCCACAGTGTCCTGATATCTCTGAATGGGTATTGGGTACCCAGGCCCATCCTGAGAGCCCCTCTGCCAACTCTCAGTGTGCCTAACATCGTTGAATACTCATTCAGAGGTGCTAGGTGGTGAATTAGTTAGTCTGGGTGGGAATTCAAGGTTGGTGGATTGCCTGAGCTTATGAGTTCAAGACCAGCCTTAGCCAGAGCAAGACCCTGTCTCTAAAAATAGCCGGACCTTGTGGCGGGCACCTGTAGTCCCAGCTTCCTGGGAGGCTGAAGTAAAAAACTTGCTTTAGTCACAGTTTGAGGTTGCTGTAAGTTATGATGCCACGGCACTCTACCAAGGGTGACAAAGTGAGACTCTGTCTTAAAAAAATAAATAAAGTTAGTTCTAGGAATTTTTCAAAATATTCATATGGTCCCATGTGACCTTAGAAAAGTCATTTAACTACTAAGAGCAAAAGATTAAATATTAAGTATTATAAAACAAAACTGAAAAGAAAGGGCAACACATGATGTCTTAGAAACAAATAGTTTAATTTCATTTTTACCTGGAAAAAAACAAATACAAGTTTAAAATGAAATGACAAACACTTTGACATGTCACTGAGAGTCATTCTTTATGGTATTATGCTTGTTCAAAAATGTGGAGATATAGAACCTTAATAAATTTAAGGAATCAAAGATTCTACTGCAGATAAAAACTGATTGGTTAAAAAAATGTCAATTCCTTAACTATTTCATTTTTGTTCTTTGTTTTCATAGGGAATATTTTATAGAAATAGCATAAGTAAGGCAGAATTTTGAAAATTCAATTATAAAACTGCAAGAGAAAATGTTAAGTTCCAATTTTTCTTTGCAAACCAAGAAAGGCGTAATTTTACCCTAGGGAGTCGCCTGCAAAGCTTATCCGATGACTAGACCTGCCAGAACCCTGGGGTATACAGGCTGGAGGCAGCCTTCTCCTTTTGCTCTGAGGAATGAGACATACCACCAGAACCTCTTCTTCCAATTAGCCTCAGTTAGAAGAATTTAACATAACATAAGTATTTCTATAGTGCAGTAAAAGAGTGTGTCATTTATATTTGCACTATGAAAATAAGTCTGTATACCAAGTAATGTATGAATACGAGTCATGTAGATTTGGTCATGGTATCTGAAGTTGGCTTTGGCTTTGAAGCATTTCTAAATTCATAGAAAATACTGAATGTCAGATAAAATAAATAAAACATTTTAACAATTGATCAACTTCAAAGTTTCTTTTCATTTTTTATTTGCTACTCAATTTTAAAAGAGAAGTCACTTTCAGTAGTGTTCCAAAGTGAGTGATTGCACCTTCTATGATGTGAAAAAGTTGGTAAAGGTCCATTGCTGTCAGCTGTTCTCAAGTCTGAATATACTAAGTTGTTTGCAATAAGATATTCTCTGCTACTGGCAGGAAATCCACCAGTGCCCTTTGCAGGGCACTCCAGACCTTGTGTTTTTGCAGAAAGTTGATGAAAACCAGGGTCCTCATTTGCCTTTCTGAAGAGCTCAGGCCAAGTCCCATTTTGTGGTGGTGACCCTGGATGGTGGCTGCAGAGGTTCACTGATGCCCCTCATGTGCTTTCTCAGGTGGTGCAGACTGAGGGCAGCTCTGCGTAATACTAAAAGGACCAAGGAACCCTGGCTGCCCTCAGTAATTCCAGATGACTGCAGGATCACCAGCAGGGCCCTGGTGGTGAGCCATGCTACTCAGGAGGTGGCCGGAGGCTCCGCAGCTTCCTCTCATCCAGTCCTTTCCAGTATTTAAAGTTGTTGTCAAGGTGCTGCATTAAATCAGGGAGGTCTACAAAGGCTGGAGGAAAAGACAGGACTGCAATCTCCTCTCAGAGCCTGGGCTTACGGGCAGGCTTTCTACAGAGAGCATTTTAAGGAAGAGGGACAGAGGGAGCGGGCATTTGGATAATGCTAAATAGACGGTGCAAACACCCTGCAGTCTGAATGAAGATGGTTTTCTCTGTGGACTACCTGTTCAGCTGGTAACTTTGTTAAATAAGATACAAGGGAGCTGATTTGCTCAGTGAGCATCTAGCCAGCACCTCTGGGGCTCAGGGGGTTGGGAAACAGAGCATAGTGTGGTCTGCCGCCTATGGCAGTGCCGTGGACAGGCAGTGACAGGCTCTTCTGTGCCCCCAGCCCCAACGTGGCTTCTCAGGTGTCCCACACTGTCTCTTTCCACCTGCTCTGCTAAAGAAATGGTGGGGGAGGGGCCTGAGTCTGGTCCCAGCCCAGGCGCTGTACACTGCAGAGCTCATTCTGCCCCTAAAGCCATACCTCTGTAGGCTGCCTCAGCTCTTCTCCCCAGCCACACACCCCTACTCTGCTTCCCTCAGGGCATCCTAGGCCCCCAGAAAGGGCTTATTTCCTCCAGACTGGATCTGAATTTGAGTCTCTGGATCTGGATGTTATCAGCCCTGCTGTCCCCTCCGAAGCCCAGGGGGATTAGTGGGATCCTTTTCTCTGAAAATCTTTTGTTTGACAGGCTCCTTGTCCCACCTAGAGGTTAAAACAGTAATACCCATCTCAGGAACACCAGCTGCCCATGGGTTTGGACAATGTGAGGACCAGAGGAGATGGAGACAGCAGACGGCTAAGGGCCTAAACAGGAACGTTGGGTCTGGAGTTAGTGCCATTGGCTTGAACCCTGGGCTCTCTATTACTAGCGCTGGGGCCCCAAGTTCAATCCCCTCATCTATAAAGCCAGTGTAAAGATGCTGTCATCTAGGAGGGTGGCTACTTAATGTGGAGAGGCAGGCAGAACAGGCAGCCCTAAGGCCCTCGGCACTGGTTCACTTCTTGCTCAACGCTTGAAGTCTACACCTCCACTCACATCCAGAGTCCAGGGCACCACTTGTTATTTAAAATGCAGTTTCCCAATGTTTAAAGGAAAACATGCTAAGATCTCTTACCATCCCAAGCATCAAACATGTCCGTGATGAAGTAGTCAATGAAAGAGAGCTGGGATTTGGGGATGCTGCAGGTATTTCTGTCAAAAACTGGCATCACCACAGGTAAGCCCTGCTGCTTCTCCTCGTCAGTCTGAAAAGCAGAAAACACAGTCACAGCCCTGGCTTCTGGCTCTACTCCACCTGGGAGCAGCCTCCACACAGCCTCTTGGGCAGCTATGCCGGCCTGTGCTGCTTTCAGAGTGGGGGCTGCTCCATGTCGGGGGCTTGAGGACACCCTACCCCACCCACATACTGCTTTCAACGTGTGTTGAAATGTCTCCTTGGGGGAGCTCCTCAGGTAAGAGCCGGGAGAGCTGTGTGCTTGGCCTCTGCTACCCTGCCCTCCTGAAGAAATGGGCAAAATTTATATGCAGTTTACTTGGGCCAAGGTTGAGGACAGCATCCTGTGAAACTTTGGAAAGTGTTTTGGAGAATAAAGAGGCTTGAGATTTTTTTTTTTTTTTTTGAGACAGAGCCTCAAGCTGTCCCCCTGGGTAGAGTGCCGTGGCATTACAGCTCACAGCAACCTCCAACTCCTGGGCTCAAGCGAGTCTCCTGCCTCCGCCTCCCAAGTAGCTGGGACCACAGGCGCCCGCCACAACGCCCGGCTATTTTTTGGTGGCAGCCGTCATTGTTGTTTGGCGGGTCCGGGCTGGGGATTCGAACCCGCCGCCTTAGGTGTACGTGGCTGGCGCCTTAGCCCGTTGAGCTATAGGCGCCGAGCCAAGAGGCTTGAGATTTTAAAAGAAAAAAGGACAAATTAGGAGAAAGAATGATTATAAAAGTTATGGATATGACCCTGATCAGTGACTGGATCACAGGGCAGGAGAAGCCAGGACGCGGCATGGCAGGGCAGTCGACAGCTACTGGGCGACTCTTGGTCCAGAGCCTGCATGGCAGGCAGGTTACTTTGGTTGTGGGGGTGAGACACAGCTGCTGTCACATGCCGTCACATGTCAATGCCTCTCTGGGCCTGATAGGTAAAGGGTGCTAGAATACCTCAGGGGAAGTTTCTTTTTTTTCTCACGCCCATCACAGTCCAGCCATCTCTCCATTCAGGAAATGCTTGACATACCCCACAGCAGGGCCACACCCTGAGACTGCCTCCCTGCTCCATAGGAAGAGCCCAGGCCGCCTCTCTTCTGTGCCTGGGTTATCATATTTGAAAAGGCTGTGGACACTCTTGCAGTCCAGGAGATTAAAAACAAAGCAGAAGTTGAAGAATTTTTGTGTACTGTAGTCAAAACTCTTCTAGAACATCATCTGGATTGTAGAAAGGCTTACATAAACTGAAAATATAATTAAGACAAGACCTAGGGAAGAGGCAAGTTTATCCTGAAAGATACCAGGATGCTGCCTTTCTTTGAGGTTTCAGTTTTGCCCCTGGGGCAGTGATGAGGTTGTGGGGTACGAGAGTGGACCCTGGAAGAGCAGTGCCCATGGGGTTGGAGGTGTACAAGTGGAGCACCCTGATGTCCCTGCTGGAGCCAGGAAGTGTATGCAGGGAGCTAAGGGCATGACGACAGGGTCAGCACAGGATCAGTGCCCTTGAGGGCTGGGGCTGTGTAACTCAGAACAAGATCTGGGACTTTCAGGTGGGACCTAAGCACATGTGTGGGGCCAAGTGAGAAGACAGTGGCTGTTCTGCTGGATGTTTTCCTCTGGGGCTGGCTGGACAGGGTGGGGCTGTCCCCCTGGAGGGGTCCTCTGCCTCTGACACGTGCTGTTGACCTCTACAGTACTTTGGGAGAGTCTGATGTGCAGACTGCCCTATGGGCCAGATGTGGTAAGGCACACACCTAGGGAAAGAGGCCTGTTTTCCTTATTTTCAGGTGGACAGGTGGTAAGTGAGAGAAAGAGCAGCTTTATATACAGCAGAAAAACAGTGCATGTAAGACATCAGGATGCTCAGCTGGCTGCAGGAGTTGGTTCTGTGAGAGAACCTGGGACGGAAGGACTTGGTTTGGCCTGGTGTTCTGTTGACAGTCTGTGCATGGGGGCTTGTGAAAGTTCTTAGCAAGGAGCAGTGGCTACGGTAAGGCATGTATGGAGTAAGGCTACGAGAGTTCTGTTGGCCATCTGGGGAGGGATAAGTTCTATTCTGAGTATAAAGGACACACCCTGTGAATGACTAGCTGGGACAAGGGCATGGGTGTTTAGCAAGACCAACAGAAAACCTACTCTCAGGGGTTGGGTGCCTGTCCACCCCACCCTAACCCCTGGATATGCTCATGGAGCAGATTGGCAGCCCTCCTCCTTTGCCCATTCCTCTTCTAATTGCTGTCTTTAAGCTGAGGCCTGGCAACTGTCATTGGGGCTACACAGACTCAGACTGCTTTGGCTGGAGCTGCTCCTGAGACCAGTGCCAGTTATAGCCTGTGTATAATGGACCTGAGGCCCACGGCACTGGAAGGACCCAGGTTTTGGCAGGGGTCTAGCCCTGGCAGTGACAGTAACTCACCCTAGCTCTCTACCTGGAATCTCTCCACCTGAGGACAGCAGGTAAACCTCTGAGGTCTTCCTAGGCTGGGACTAGACTGCACTGGGCTCAGAGATGCACCTATGCTAAGTCAGTGCTGACAGTGCTGGGGAGAAGTGCTAAGAAAGAGGCCTATTTTCCCTATTTTCAGGTGGACAGTGGTAAGCCATGGGGCTAGGCAGAAGCCAGCAAGAACCCCATGCCTCTGGGTAGTACAGAGGGTGGGATTCATGGGCTCTGATACTAGGTCAACTGGGGAGTGCTGATTTGGCCTCAGCCTTTGCTGATGGGGAAGCCCCGGCTGTTGGCCACAGGCTAGCAGCCCATGCCCTGTGCAGTTTCAGAAAAACACAGGTTAGCCCATGACAGTCTGTCCATGTGTGCAGAGATAGCCTTGGTTCATAGCCCCTTGGCCTGCCTAGCACAAGAGCAGTGGAAGGGGTGGCCACCGTCCTGAGGTCCCTTCCCTGGTCCTACTGGACACAGAAGCAAATCTCTTGAGGCAGCCATAGTAGAGGCTCTGTCAGCCTCATTGCTGCTTGCTGCTTTCAGGACTTTGTCCACCCTAGCCACACAGAAGCAGCTGGCGGGCTCAAGGTCAGTGAAGGCCCTCATGCTCAGACTTCTTCTCTTTGGCCCAATGTGACAAGTGCATGGATCTCCCAGGTCCCTGGTTTTCTCTTAGAGATTCTGCAATGAGTCAGCTGTGGCCTGGAGCTCTTCTAGGTCACCAGGGAGAGCTCCAGGCCTGTAGATGCTCCTTTCTGAGACCCAACCTGTGAGGCAGGGTCACATCAAATTTCACATTGCACCATTGTGCCTCAGGACTGGCTATACACACCTCGCAGAAAGTGAGTTGTGTGGTGCTCAAGCCCCATTCCCCACGAAGACGAACAGCCACAGCAAGAAATTAGACATGCCACCTCCCCTTGTCTTTCGGTCCTGGCACTCTTGCTGTCCAAGCTATTTAAGAGAGAAATGGCTGTGGGGAGTGGACTTTCAAACCTAACCCCACTGAATACAAGAAGCAGCTGTGTGGTAATAACTTAAAAATTAAAGTTTAAACACTGGAGTCACATCAGTGAAATGATGGATGAGGAAGCTCCAAGCTCTCTTTAGCCCATGTAAACATCTAAACACAAGGAAAGATTGTTTAACAACCTTGTAAGAGCTCTAGAAAACAGCCAAAGGTTTTGCAGATATGTCCAACCCCCAGCCTGTGGGCCACATGTGGACTATGTGAGAACTTCTTTGCTTATCTGTGGTGGCAGGTAACACAAAAATGCATGGACCTTTTTTCTGCTCATCAGCTTTTGTTTGTGTATTTAATGTGTGGCCCAAGACAACTCTTCTTCTTCCAATGTGGCATGAAGACACCAAAAGGTGGGATGCCCCTGGCACTCTACAGTAATCCAGTGAATGTCCATTTCCGCAAAGCGACATTCAAAATGGTAGGAAATTTAATGCGTCTTCACTCTGTTTTGCCCCACCACTTCTCCAACATGGTGCAGTCTCCACAGCTCCCATGAACGGGAGTGAGCAGAGCAGACTTCTGCAGCATTCTGACGTGTCTGTGTTTCACCTAACTTGGCTTCCCAGGTGGAAAAGCAATGACTGTGACCTAGGAAAGCTATAGGGGAATAGCTGACATGCAGACATCTGGGAAAAAGCCATTATGGGCACAGATACATGACAGGTCATCTAAGAGCCTGAAGCAGAGCTGGGGCAGATGTTTTTGGAAATTAAGATGCCCAAATCCCAGCACTTTGGGAGGCCAAGGCAGGTGGATTGCCTGAGCTCAGGAGTTTGAGACCAGTCTGAGCAAGAGTGAGACCCCATCTTTACTAAAAAAAGCAGAAGTATTAGTGGGTGTCATGGTGGGTGCCTATAGTCCCAGCTACTCAGGAGGCTGAGGCCAGAGGATCTCTTGAGCCCAGGAATTTAAGGTTGCTGTGAGTTATGATGCCATGTTACTCTACCTAGGGTGACAGAGTCTCAAAAAACAAAACAAAACAAAAGCAGCTGTGTATATAGGGCAATTAAGAAGGTCACAAGCAGGCCCAGGCCAAGGTATGCTCAGAAAAGACCTGAGAAGATAAGCTTGGGCTAACCTCAAGGTGCAGGGCCAGTCTGTAAAGACTCAGAGCAGCAGACGTGTTTCAAATGTCCAATTTTCAATAAAAATAAAAAAGCATACAAAGAAACTGGAAAACATGGCCCATTCAAAGGAAGAAATTAAAATGACAGAAACTGTCCCTAAAGAAGCACAGACACTGGACTTCCTAGGCAAAGACTTTAAAACAATTGTTGAATATGCTCAAAGACTTAAGGGAAAACATGGACTGAGAACTAAAGGAAGTCAGGAAAATGAGAGATAACACAATGAGAGTAACACCAAAGAGAAAGGAATTATATAAAAAGTATCCAAAGAGAAATTCAGAGGCTTGTCAACACAAAAAATGCATTGAAAACTTCACTAAGGGGATTCAACATAAGATATGAACAGATAGAAGAAAGAATTAGCAAACTTGAAGACAGGACATCTGAAATTATCAAGTCTGAGGAGAAGATCAAAAACTGTTATAAAAGACAAAGAAAGACATTTATTAATA